CCTTATGCCTCTTTCCTATTCATTCACTACCTTCCATTGTCTTTTCAGTTCTAGACACACTCTTTACTGCTCTTGAAGGTTTTGTATATACTTTCCTCTGTCTGGAATTCTCATCCCTCCACACTTCTCATGTCTGAGTCCTTCTCATCCTCACCACCTCTTTTAAAATGGCCTTTCCTTATTCTCCACCTCATACCGTTATTCTCTATCCCAGCACATACTTTTTTCCTTCATAGCATGTACCACACTTTATAGTTATTTTATTTGTTGTTTTACTTATTTTAGGCTCTCTCCTCCTCCAGTAAACTACAACAGGACATCCTTGTGCCAGGGACCATATGTATCTTGTTCACTATTAAATCTCTAGCACAAATAGAATTCCTCATACGTAGTAGGCACTCAAAAATATTTGTTGAACTAGCAAATGAATGAATGAAAGTCATGTGCTAATCACCATGGACTCATTATATATACACAGAGGGTTTCTGATCTCACAAACTTTATAGTACAATAAAGGATACATATCTGTTATCAGGCAACTGCAGTATTACTTAAGTGTATGATGTCAGGAGGACATAGTACTATAAGAACACATAAGAAAGGCCTGGAGATTTCTGCTTCTACTATGATGGAGTGGCTTATTTGGACCAACTCTCCCACCAAGGGCAACTATAAAAGCTATGGTGGCACAGTGGTTAATAATCTGCCTGCCAATGCAGGGGACACAGGTTCGAGCCCTGGTCCAGGAAGATCCCGCATGCCGCGGAGCAACTAAGCCCGTGCACCACAACTACTGAGCCCCCATGCCACAACTACGGAAGCCCATGTGCCTAGAGCCCATGCTCCGCAACAAGAGAAGCCATCGCAATAAGTCAGCCCACCGCAACAAAGAGTAGCCCCCACTCGCTGCAACTAGAGAAAGCCTGTGCACAGCAACAAAGGCCCAACACAGCCAAAAATAAATAAATAAATAAATTTATTAAAAATAAATAGATAAAAGCTATGTAAATTTTTTAAATTTTTTAAAGAATAAGAAAAAGGTGTCCAAAGAGAACAACCACAACAGATGGGATTCAGGGCACCAAGATCTCAGAGAAAAGTGAGCCACAGAGAAGTTGAACTGGAATTCTTCACCATATATTTCCTCAAGGCATTTACTAACTCCTAAGCCAGGAGGGACAGGGGATGATGTAATGGTCAAGAGGTCAAGAATCTAAGCATAACAGAATAGCTAAAAGGCTAAGAAAATAAGCAGAGTTTTCAAAAGTCTTAAGAGTTCAAGACCTGCCGTGGAGGAGGGACCCTGGCAAATATCTCAGGCTTTCAGTTTAAACCCTTGAAGTGCTGTGATCTAAGAATAAGGACAAACTGGAAAAAAAAGAAGTCTTCACAAAGACTGAAATTGAGCCTCAAATTATCTCAGTCTCTGATTATATCAAGGTAATCTTACTTAAGCTGCCAGAAGAAATTAAATTCTTTCAGGAGGAATATATCATCATTCAAAACCTCTGAATTTTTTTCATATATAATGTTTGGACTTTACCAGAAATAGCACAAAATTACTAAAAATTTAGAAGGGAAAACAAGATAGTACAACCCTAAAAATGGTCCTGACATTTATATTGCCTCATATGGACTTTTAAAAACTGTAATTAATGTATTTAAGAAAAAGAAATGACAAAGAATTTCACTAGAAAATTAGAATCTATTTATAAAAACTAAATGAAAATTTGGAAAAAATATGGAAAAGAGCATAAAAGACATATGGGATTTGGTGAAAGGTGTAACATATGTGTAATTGGAGTCCCAAAAGGAAAGAAGAGTGAACAAAAGCAATATTTAAGAGATACTGGCAGACAGTTTTCCAAAACTAATAAAAGACATAAAGCCAGATATTCAAGGAGTTCTGCTAATCTCAAGCAGGATAAATACAAAGAAACCATATGTAGGTAGTCATAGCAAAACTACTGAAAACTAAGGACAAAGAGAAACATCTTACCAGAAGGACATGTTACTTTCAAAGGACCAAAAATAGAACGAACAGAAATGATTTAAACAGAAATTATGGAACTCAGGAAACAATGGAGGGACTTCCCTGGTGGTCCAGTGGTAGAGAATCTGCCTTCCAATGCAGGGGACACAGGTTCAATCCCTGGTCGGGGAACTGAGATCTCACAGGCTGCAGGGCAACTAAGCCCACGCACCACAACTACTGAGCTTGCACGTCTCAACAAGAGAGCCCATGTGCCACAAACTACATACCCCATGTACCCTGGAGCCTGCACACCACAACTAGAGAGAGAAAACCTGCACGCCACAACTAGAGAGAATCTCACATGCCACAATGAAGACCCAACATGGCCAAAATAAAATAAAATATTAAAAAAATAAAAACAAAATCAATGTGTTCAAAACAGAACTTCTAAAAAATAAAAGAGAGAGAACAATGGAATGGCATTTGTAAAATGCTGAAAGAAAATAAAAGCTAGTATGGAACTGAACTAGATAAAAACTGAACAGACCTATCCTAAAGGGAGTTTTTCAGGTGGAAAGATTATGGAAGCATGAAAATGTAGAAAGGACTAAAGAGCAAAGGAAAGGGTTAATATGTGGGTAAATGTATTGTTGATTATATGAAATAATGTCTTGAGGTTTAAATGTATATAAATATATATTGAATATATAGAGTATATATTGTCTGTATAGTATATGTGGAATGTATATGTATAATAGTTATATATATACACACACACATGTTTATAATGTATATAGAGTATATGATACATGATAGCACAAAAAGGAAAGAGGAATGGATGGAGTTAACATGTTTTAAAGTTCTTACATTGGGAAGTGATAAAAATACCAAATTATGATAGATTGTAGTACGTTAAGAATGCATGTTGTAATCTCTAAAATAACCACTAAAATAATAAGAGAATGTGTAACTAACAAATACAAGAAAAAGAAAATTAAATAACAAAAAATTTTGGTGAATTGGAAGAAGACATGAAAGAAGAAAAAGAAATAAAAACAAAAGTGACAAATAGGTAATGAATAGGAGGGCGATAGTGTTAAACCCCAAATATAGCAATAATTATATTAAGTGTAAATGGACTGAGTCCTCCAATTAAAAATTGTCATTCTGGATTTTAAAAAACAACAAATTGCATGATACTTATAAGAGACCCACCTTAAATATAAGGACACAGCTCATTGAAAGTAAAAGATCAGAAAAATGTTACAAGGAAAGATAGCTGGTATGACTCTCTTGATATCAGAGAAAATTAAGATAAAAAGTATTACTAGATATTAGGTGGAGGGACATTTCCTATTCATATATGTACATGGATCAGTTCATCAAGTAAATTCTAAATTATTGCATCTAATAATATAACCTAAAAATAAACACTAATCAATCTACTATCCAGCCCTGGGAATTCAGGGGAGGCTGAGAAGATGACTGAGATTGAGAGTCATCTCAGAGATTGAGAGAGAGGAGGATGGAAAGAAAGAGTATTCTAAACGGAAGGAAGCACATTTTCAAAGATTTGAGGCAAGAAAGTGTAAAAACTGACAGCAATATAGTCCTGCTGGAATGTAGAGAGAGAGAGATTAAGGAAGAGGAATCGGGCTGGTGGGAAAAGGATTGCCTGATAAGAGCAATGATTGGCAAAAGGGGACTAGAAAATACAAGAATCTTAGCTATGATATTTAAAAGCTGAGACTTGTTTCTGGAAACCAGGAAGTTATTGAAGTATTATATATTGATTTGATCAGATTTGTTTCCAGGAGGTCTCTCTCACTACTGTGGTGGGAATAAATTGGAGGAGGGCAGGAGTGTTGGCAGAGAGACCTATTTCAGTAATTCAGGTGAGATGATGTTGGCTGAGGCTGTGGAGATAGAAGGAAACAGCTTTTAAAAATAAAGTGTCCCCGGCTTCCCTGGTGGCGCAGTGGTTGGGAGTCCGCCTGCCGATGCAGGGGATACGGCTTCGTGCACCGGTCCGGGAAGATCCCACGTGCCGCGGAGCGGCTAGGCCCGTGAGCCATGGCCACTGAGCCTGCGCGTCTGGAGCCTGTGCTCCGCAACAGGAGAGGCCACAACAGTGAGAGGCCCGCGTACCGCAAAAAAAATAATAAAAAAAAAAAAGTGTCCCATAACTTGTGAAATATTTAAAATTTTAGTAGGTTACTAGAATCTTGGATTAGTGAGCAGGAAACTCAGTAATAGACCGAGAGGTTGTATTACTTAAGAGAAACTTTTTAAACTGCAATTTTTTTCTTTATGTTTGCAAAACCAACTACAAGGCAGTATTGCCTTTCCTTTCCAAAGATCATGTTTTGTCAGATGGCTCTGGGTTGGTCATAACCTTGGGTTGGTTGTGTTGGTAATAGCAGAATATAAAGTTGGAGCAATTAAACACCCTTGACTTTCTGTTTTAGAGCTCCCTCCCTACATTTTTAGTTGACTTATTTACATTTGGTAATCTGTGGGCAAATGTCCAAGTGTCTCCTCAAGGAATGTGCATCATTTTAAGTTATTAGACAGAATAGTTTGTGATGCATACATGTGGCTTCCCTGCCCAGGCACAGCTACTTAAGTCATATTTATTAACATCCTTTCTCAGACATAAAAATCTGTCTTAAAAGAGAGACAACAACCTATCAAGTAATGATTTATATGTTAATGTGGTTACTTGGCTTACTATCTAACTACTTCTATTAGAATGTACCTTTTATGAGGGAAGGGGCATTGTTTCTTTTGCTCCAGGCTGTATCTCCCTGTACATAGATTGATACTCAACGTATACCAGGTGCTCAGTAAATATTTACTGAATGAATAAATGAATGAGGAATGAAGGAATATTTGTCTTAAATCAACTTCACTAAAATGTGTTTCTTTTCATTTCAATCTTACAAATTTATTTTTTTTCATTTAAAGTTTGAGAGTCTGATATTAGAATGTTCGAAAGTAAAGTGATTATTTTTCATATTTGCAGGACTATCTCAAGCAGGTGCTGGACATTGATCTTCATGCCCAGATCCATTTTGGCAGGGTTTTTATGAAACCAGGGTATGAAAATAATCTTGTTATCTAATATATGGGGTTGGTTTGGCTTGCTTTGACTAACAAAGTTTTTAAATGCTTTCTTTTTACATTTTCTATTATGGATTATTTATTCTAATAAAAGAAATATTATAGTATTAGAGTTCTTTGAACAAGTGTATATCCTATCTGAAATGGGAATTCATCTTTATAAATCACTGGGTCTGGTTTAAACAAAGCAAAGCAACTTTCCAAACCTTTTCTCCCTTTAATTTCCATGTCTAGTTCCTTCCTTCTCTTTTTCTGCTTCTTTCTCTCACTTATAACATTTCAGTATGAAAATTCTCAAACGTACACAAAAGCAGGGAGTACAATGAAACCCCCATATACCCATCACCCAACTTCAGTAACTATTTTTCTGTAATTGTTTTATCAGTCCTCTTCTTCACCTTTTTGGGGAGACAGAGGGCTGGATTGTTTTAAAGCAAGTTCTAGACATGTCATTTTAGTATACATCTCAAATATTAATAACAACAGCAGTACTTTCTTATATAATCACAATGGTATTATCTCAGGTAACAGAATAAATAAGAATACCTCAGTATCATCTAATACCGTGATCGTATTTGAAAATTCTCCCAAATGTCAAGGAAAAGTATGCCTTCTTACATATGTTTTGTTTGAATTAGGATTCAAGTCAGGTCTACTCACTGTATTTGGTTAAGTTTCTATTAAAGAGGAACATTTACCAACCACCGCCCCCCTTTTTTGGCATGCCACTGACTTGTTGAAGCAACTGAATCTTTTGTCCTAGTTTTGTCCTAGTGAATGGATTTGGCTGATTGCTTCCTTGTGGTGGCATTTAATTTGTTCCTGTCTCTCTCCAGTATATTCTGTACATCAGAAGTTAGATCTAAAGGTTTGAGTAGATTCAGGTTCAATTTTTTTTTTTTTGTAAGAATACTTCATGAATAGTGTTTCATACTGCTTCTTACTACCTCCCAAGAGGAAAGAAAAGTAACCACATACCTAGATCTTGCATATCTCCTGAAAACTAATAGCTCCCTCAGGAAGGGCTAATGGAGGTTCTGTAATCCATTGTAAATCCTCAAAGAATGCAAACATTGGTGTTGATAAAATATGTGTGGCCATGTCTTTAAACAACAGCCTGCCTGTTGAGACCCCTGCTCCTCTATAAACCTGTGGTATGTAAACATTATAAAAACACTGTTGAAAACCCTCAGTGTGTGGGTGAGCATTCCAGCCCACCTCCATGCTGTCAGGGACAACAGTAATGATGCTTTAGTTCAGGGTCATACTCTGATGGGTGCTCATATGAACCCTAAGAGAAAGTAGAGGTGGGACTTAACAGTTGTTACAAGTGAGCCATGGGAACTAGCAGCAAATTCCAGAAACCTTTTTTAAGTGTCAAGCCAGCCCTCCTAATCTCCCTGATTTATTGGATACCTTGTGTCAGTTCTAAGGCAGAGATCAGGCTTTACATTTAAGTATGAAGTTAAGATTGTCCCTAAAGCCTTCTCCACAATGTAATAGAATTTAGAATTCTTGGCATTATATTTCTGTAGTTGCTCTGATATGCTGCCACTGACAAGGCCCTTTTACTATTGAAGGTGTTGGATTGGGATCATTCTTATTAAGAATATCTTGTCTTAAGCAAATATTATTATGCTATGAGTACACAGGCTTTCTTTTACTCTGTCCCCATGGGCAGTACTAATTTGATTAGAATACAGAGGACATACCAAAAGTATGTCAATGTACTTCTCACTAATCTCAAAAATTGAATTGATTATTCCTTTGCAGTGAGAAAGAAGCTGACATTACTTACCCTCACCTCTAGAGGAGAAATATTTGTATAATATCTATTATTTAAATTATCTATTATTTAAATTAATCTCAGCACCCATGATGTATAATTTTGGTACTCATTTTATTATTTACCACTTACTTCAGCTGTAGGACTTCTGTGACTTCAGTTATTGTATAAAAGCTGTTACATTCTGATCTCAAGAGGAAAAATGAACAATAGGTGTTGAGTTTCAAGGAAATGGCTTTCCAGATCCTAAACAAAAACTTCACAGTCTAGCAATAAAACACTCATGATAGCAGCGCACATAACAAAATGTTTTATTGTAATGGAATCTTTTTAAAATGAGTACCTTCAGAGAAATCACAGTAGCTGTCTGCAAGGTTCAAAAGATGATTTAAATTGGCTTTAAATACAGTAGAAGGAAGGTGTTATGCATTCCCTCCTCAATCTTATTATGTGTGTTAGTTTGCTATTAAAAAAAAAATGGTTTAGAAGTTTAAATGGGCTTCCTTTAATTGTCCAGAATTTTATACTTGTCTGAAGATAAGAAGAATTTAAAGGTAATTGCTACTTAATAGTAGAATAAGAAGAAATATAAAAAGCTCAAGAACAATTTAGCTTTGCTCTTCCCACATACAGTACATTCAGAATGCAATTAACCTCTTTCCTTTTAAACACAGAGATACTCAAAAAGCATTTGGAATATTATCAACCAGATCTACCAATCACAGTTTTTATGGGTCATCTACAGTGAGCATAGCTGTTGTCGAAAATGTATCCTGGAAATTATTTTCATCACACAGTAACAGTCATTGCCAAATAACCTATCTATAAATGGATATGACATTCTAATCTCAGTTTTCTAAAACACAGCAAAGAATCAAGAAGTAAGCAAAAAAAGGCCTCAGAGTAGCCAAGAATAGATGTTACGAAGTCCATGTAATAACACTTCACAGTGTACCCTATGAGAGCCTTATCTAATTATAAGCCATAAAGTTAGAAAAACCTTGGTTCAAATCTTAGTATCTGAGTAATTTTGGCCAAATTGCTTAATCTCTCTGAGTCTCATTTTCCTCATCTGTAAAATGGGATGACAATTGTCACCTCATGGGATTATTGTAAGAATTAAATGAAATCATGGATATAATGCTTAGATGTTTCTTTAAAAATAGTAACTTCTATTATTACTATTATTATTATCATTCCAACAATATAACTATTACTACTGCTCTCTGGTTCCCAAACCAAAGGCCAGCTTTAAGGGTCAAGATGATGGCAGTCTAGCATTAAGGGGACCTACAGAAAAAAAAACTAGGGAAAAAAAACAGAAACACTAACTATAGAAACACCGCCACGTGTACTGTTATGTTATGGTTTAATACCCCTGTGACCCAAAATCTCTGTATCATAGCAGAGTAGGATCAATTCATAATGATGGCTGTAATTCATCAAAAATATTAATGTTCATCATATTATTGCAAAAGGTAATGAGTGAGTGATCCTTTCTTCTTTCAACCAACGAGCAAAAATAGTAAAAAGAAAAACAATTTGGGTGCTTAAAAGGGTAATTTTTCAGCTACCTTTAAATTTCAGCATTCCCTAAGAATTTTGCATCACTCAAGATTCATTAATATTATAAAAATTTTAGCTGAAATTCTATATTAAGGGTAGTCGATAGAAAAAAATCACTATTATTAACCACCTGCCCTCTTCACACTCACACCCCTCTGCACACCCCCATGATGAGGGGGGACTTTTGAGGAAGTATAATTTGATAATATTCTTAAATTACTATTGCTTTAATTTTGTTCTAGTCATGGTATTTTATTTTGACATTTCAAAACATTCCCTTCATAGGAGGGAAGCTTTTATGTTTATTGCTGAGTATAGTCTTAACGGGCTGAGAAATACTCATCTTGAACAATAGGTAGTTATCTGATAGACATGTATTACCAGGTAGTCTTCAGATAAAAAGAATGATTGTTATTCTCCAGCAGAAAAAAAAAAAGTATAGACATTGTTAACTAGAGGGGTGGAGAAACTCCAGGGTTTGGCATATGCTTCTATGGCACTGGCAAGAAGGAAAAAAATGTAAACTACAGAAAACCAGGAAGTTTGGTTACTTGAAAACAGAAGATGCTACAAAAGAATTAATTTAAATGCTCTCGAAACACTTCAGGTTATAAAGATTTAAAGGAGAGTCAACAGAAAAGTACTTTCACACAATAGGTGACCTGTATGAAGAACCATGTAACAAGAAAACTGCAGTATTTAACTTACTACTCAGATTGCTTAGCAGTCACTAACAAACAACCTCTACTTTTCCTCTAGCCTGCCAACGACATTTGCAACTTTGGATATTGATGGTGTAAGAAAAATAATCTTTGCACTACCAGGTAAGAATAATTGAAATAGTTTCTTTTGCTTTTTCTGGAAAAATGACCAAAATCTTTTTGTTTCCCAGGTGACCAGTCCCCTATCAGAGCGCATGATTTGGAATCTGAAACACCTGGGTTCAAATCCCAGCTTTTCATACTGTATGACCTTGGACAAATCACATAACCTCTCTGAAGCTGTTTCTTCATCTATAAAATGGGGCTAATTAGGGTTGGTGTGAAAGTCAAATTAGTATCTTTCAAAGCACATTTCAGACCCTAAGATGATAATCAGGAGTTAAGTGTCACTATGTCTTTCTAGGGCACCTGCTTTTCCTTACAGGAAATTGGTCAAAGTTAGCAGTATAATTACCTCTCACAACTAGAGTATTATGCTCAAGGGGCCAAAGGGCCTTGAATCGCCCATGGAAATACTAGAACAAAAAAGTACAAAGCTGCCTTTTGTTCTCACCAGATTTGGACTGGTTGGGGAGAGCAGCAACACAGAAGGAGGGGCTGCAAATACTGATGCTTCTCAGCCAAATCCCAGGCATCATCAGTCTGACCACATCATTATCCCCACCCTCTCCCACGTGAGCAGAAACTCACATGTTCAGATTATAGAAAAAGCAAAGTGGTTCAGTTTACAATTTTTGGACTTTGGCTGTGCATTTAAAGCCAGATTTTAAAGCCATTACTAATCTTGATAAATTCTAAAGCAGTTTAGAAGTTTCATGTATCTACTTATTTTTTTCAATTTTAAAAATTATCCTCTGATCTGTAGCAGTGTCCCATTCTCTATTTTTTGGCATAGATTCCTTTAGAAAATAACCTACTTATTCCTTTCATATGTACAAGTCTGGTGGCTTTGGGATATTTACCTGCTTTTTTATATTAAATAAAGCTCAAAATAGAGATAGAAAGAAAAGAAGGCAGGCAGAAAATTTTAGAACTTTAAAAACATGTTTAAAGCCCCTATCTGTAAGCATAAAAGAGAGTATGTTTCTCTCACATAGGAAATTTTAAGAGCGAGGTCATGTAAATAAAGTTTTAGTCCTCTAATGATTTCTGTGGTACAAAACTCCTTAGGGCCTTTAATACATCCCTAGATACTCTGAAGACCATTATACAGAGAAATGTAATCATCTTCCTAGCTTCATTTTGACTAGAAGAGACTGTTTTTGTTGTCTACAGAAGATATGACTTGACCTACAAAGTATGTTATAGTGGGAGCCTATTTTGCCATTACTAAGTGTTGTTGATCTGCCAAAGAAGTTATAATTAAATAGCCTATTTTCAAATTGCTGCTTTATTTTGAGATTTTGACTGCTCAGCCTGAAAGTACCAAAAGAGGGCAGCAACAATTCACATATTCAGATTGTAGAACCAGCAAAGTGGTTCTTTTTATAAGGATTTGAAAACTCAGAATTGGATTTTTTGGTTTCTTAAGGGCCTTGCAATTAAAGCCATTACTAATCTTGATAAGTTCTAACGCAGTTGAAAAGTTATGTGTTATCTCCTTGTTCTTTTTTTAACTTTTTAAAATTACTATAGTAACATGTGTTCACTGTAAAAACATTAGAAAACACAGATAAGCATTAAGAAATGTTATCCATAATCTCCCTCCCCCTGAAATAACCACTATTTGCAATTTTCTTGGTGTTGATTTTTCCAGTCCCTTTTCTTATATAGAGCAATTCATTTTTTATAGAGTAATTTTATAAAACAGTAGCATTACAAGAATACTGTAATCATTGTTGAACAATAGCTTTCTTATTTATTTTTCTTTTATTTTTCCTTTTTTTGATTTTCCAGAAAAATTTCCATCTGTTTATATTTTGAGCCCGCAAAAAAAAAAAAAAAAAAAGAGTCTGCTGTCCTGTGGGCCAACTCACTTTTTCTATTGAAATAATCAATGTCACTCATCACAGATTTTTTTAACAACTTAAAAAAAATCTATTCTTAACTGCTTTTGTGGGTAGAAGAAAACTAAAGGTATGCTTTTAGCTAGTAATAGGCTAAACTGACCATTGCTTTTATTTTGATGATGAAATTAGCAGCACAAAGCCAGGCCAAGGTAACCTAAAATATAATAAGCATTCCCCACCCCCTCTCTCTCTATATATATGCATACTCACATACCACTGTATAAAAGTATTAGTAAAATTTGAATTTTAAAACCAAAAGGAATATTAAGAATCATATAATCCAAACCTTTCATTTTGTGGATGAGTAACGTTAGACCCAGAAAGGTTTGGAACTCTTGCCTGGGTCGCATGGCTTGGTTAGTTAACAATACCACACAAGAAGCTAAATCTGTTATTCTCAGCTCAGTCATTTTTTTCATAGCCCACCATACCTCTCTTTGAAGTGCATGACACACCCAGATTTCTTCTTGGAGAGGTACAATTGAATTCCTCAAATTTTTCTTATAACTGCAAAAAAGACTTGGTATTTGTATTAATCTGCTCAGGCTGCCATAACAGAATATCACAGACTGGGTGGCTTAAACAACAGGAATTTATTTTCTCACAGTTCTGAAGACTGAAAGTCTAAGATCAAGGTGCCAGCAAGGTTGGTTTCTGTTACGATCTTTTTTCCTTGCTTGCAGATGGCCACCTTCTCTCAGTGTCTTCACATGGCCTTTCTTCTGTGTATACACACTCCTCGTGTTTCTTCCTCTTTTTATAAGGACACCAGTCCTGTTGGATTAGGGCCTCACCCTTACAACCTCATTTAATTTTGGTTACTCTTTAGAGGTCCTTTCTCCAAATACAGCCACATTGGGAGTTAAGACTTCAACATATGAATTCGAGGGGAACATAATTCAATTCCTAAGAGTATTCGCCTTCAAGTCCTTCACGTCTTAAATCATTGTTTTTTTTTTTTTAGTTTAAAGAAATTTTTGGTTAGAGGGGATTTGGGGTAAATTTCTTTATTCTTATCCTACTTGCTAATTTTTTTTTGCACTGAGCATGTACTACTATGGTAATTTTAGAACATTTTAAAAATAGCAAGTGCAAATTCATTACTAAAGGCTTTCAATGTACAGCTCTCCGGAAAACAGATATAAATGGTGTCAAACAGCTTCTGTGCATCAGAAGTCTCTGCGTTTCACTGCTAGATCCAAATATTTACACCCTCTTTGGCATTTGGTTGACTACAGCTCTATTCTGGCAACCTTTTGGATTCAAGGTGATTCAGAAGAGGAATGCTAGTGGTTAGTCATTTCACTCTCTATGATACCTGAAGGTATAGACAGTCATAATTATACGGCAAATTTTTATGTGTGTACTATAAATAACTGCTTGGTTGACTTTCAGGGAATCCTGTGTCAGCCGTGGTCACCTGCAATCTCTTTGTTGTGCCTGCACTGAGAAAGATGCAAGGCATCTTGGATCCTCGGCCAACCATCATCAAAGCCAGGGTAATGTTTTCTAATGACCGGAAAGCAAAATTGAAGCCTAATAACAAATTAGGATATGATTTTTTAACTGCCCAAAACAAACATCTAGAATTTTATATTAGTTTTGAGGAAAAATGTGGTTATAGTCCCCTCTTCATGATAGAAAACAGAGGGAAAGGAGTCCCTTTTATTCCCTTCCCACATTATTCCATGACTCCTAAAGTGAATAATTTTCTCCAGCTGGAAGTCCATTTAGGAGTGGATATGTCATGACAAAATGGTCAATAGAATACTAAACTAATACTAAACCTATATGGAAGGAGGGACAAGAATTTCCCCTATGTAAACTTAGAGAGAACAGCAATTTAGCTGATCACTTTTTCTGTGACCCCGCTGATAAATTTTAAACAGTTCAAAAAAAGACAATTAAAGGACAAGAGGGCTTCCCTGGTGGCGCAGTGGTTGAGAGTCCGCCTGCCGATGCAGGGGACACGGGTTCGTGCCCCGGTCCGGGAAGATCCCACATGCCACGGAGCGTCTGGGCCCGTGAGCCATGGCCACTGAGCCTGCGCGTCCGGAGCCTGTGCTCTGCAACGGGAGAGGCCACAGCAGTGAGAGGCCCGCGTACCGCAAAAAAAAAAAAAAAAAAAAAAAAAAGACAAGAAAGAGAATCTAGTGAAGCAGAAGAAAAGGGAGACCATATTGTTTGGAAAAAGGACCACTAAGGCTAAGGAATTATACCTGCAGTAAAAGTCACTCAGAAATTAGAGTCCCCATCTCCACCAACACTAACTTCAGTTTGCTTTACTACTACTAGTAAACTAATTATGTAACACAGTTTCTATGTAATAACTAATGAACAATTTTCCTGGCAATTTAAACTATAATACTAAATCACTGCTTTTCTTTCTTTTAAGCTTTACTAAGGTATAATTGATATACATAAATTGCACATATTTAATGTAGACATTTTGATGAATTTGGACATATGCAAACACCTGTGATACCGTCATCACAATCAAGGTACTAAACATATCCATCACCTCCAAACATTTCTTTGTGTTCTTTGATTTGTTTGTTTATTTCATGCTAAGAACATTTAATGTGAGAACTATCCTCTTAAAGTGTTTTAAAGTGCACAATACCACATAGGTAACTATAGGTAATATGTTGTACAGCAGATTCTTTAAAACGTATTCACCTTGCATAACAGAAACTTTATATCCATTGAGCAACAATTTCCCTTCCCTCCTCCCCTCAGCCCCTGACAACCACCATGCTATTCTCTGCCTCTGTGAGTGACTATTTTAGATACTTCCTATAAGTGGAATCATGCAGTATTTTTGTAACTAGCTTATTTCACTTAGCATCGTGTCCTCTAGGTTTATCCATGTTGCCTCATGGAAAACAGTATGGAGGTTACTCAGAAATTAAAAGTAGAACTACTATATCATCCAGCAATCTCACTTCTGGGTATATGTCCAAAAGAATTGAAATCAGGATCTCAAACAGATATTTGCACCCCAGTGTTCATTATAGCATAGTTCACTATACAAAGATAAGGAAACAACCCAAATTTCCAACAACAGATGAATGGATAGGGAAAATGAAGTGTATGTGTACAATGGAGCATTATTCAGCTTTAAAAAAGATCAGTCATTGAACATCAAAAGGTATAATTGGATACCTGTTATATGAGAATATAATGGCCTATGGATTGATTAAAAAACAGATATTGAAAATGATAGAACTGTCTATGATTTATAAGAAATATAAACCAGTTTTATTATTATTTGGAGATGAAAAATATAACTAGGTTATAGAAACTTTGGAAAAATTAACTTAAAACTGATCTGTACCAACAGGTGTAAGAATTTTTAAAGTTACTTGATAAATTTTAGATGATTTATAAGGCCGATGAGCTTGAGCACCTCTCTGTTGGACTAATGAAATCAGTGCCTCATAACTTCTCTAGTACTTTTAAAAGTTAGTGTAAAGCTCCTTTAACCACTCTTTGGAAGTTTTGACCAGACTTGAGCAGAGTCCGGGCCCTTAGTACCAACCAGGGCCTGGAGCATGTCACGTGGGACCTCCACTCTAATAGAATCCCCTCTGGTCATCTGTTTTCTCACAAACTCTCTACTCCAATCTGTGCAGCTTAGTCCAGCCTCTTCCCTGAGTCTCCTGGAGCTTTCACCTTCCCCTCATTACCACCATCAAACCTTCCCAAGACTTTCAGGTCTTTGGCAATCGTCTAAAAGTCTTCTCTCCCTCACCTCTTACCATCAGTTGCTTTATTTCCATAATTCTAAATAACTTTATTTCTGCTTCAGCAACTCAGTACACATATCCTTTTTAATACCATGAAGTGCTCCATCTCAAAAATCACCAACTCTGGTATACAGTTTAGGAACAATGGCAAGTTACCTACCAGTATATATAAAAGAATTTAAACACTCCTATAACCCCTGCCCTTTTCCCTTTCCATAAGCCCCTTCTGGCTTTACCCCTTTCCTCATCCAACCTAAATCCTGTGGTGTATCACTTCAGTGTTTTTCTAACACCCTCAAATTTTTTTTGTCTCTTCTTCCATGAACTGTAGTCACTCTAAGAATCCACAAACTTAGATCAATCTTCCCTTTTTCGTCCTTCACTTTTATTCCCAGGGCACTGAGTACAACTAGAGAAGAGAGTACAGCTGTTCAAGTTATCACTTCCAATTTACAAACCTCAGCAGGGGCCAAAATTCCCCTTGATGATCCTTTTATATCCTGTGGATCAGCTTTCTCCATTCCTTACTGCAGTCTTCCAGATCTTCACCATTCTCCTAAAGCACCCTCCACCATCCACATCCCCTGTGTTTTGTAGCCAAATAAGCTGGTTTGAATGATGGCTCCAATGTTTAATGGTTTCTCTTCTAATCCTGCCTCCTTTTAAATCCCTTTTCTAACTCTAATCATGTCAGCATCTCCAATTAAAATTCTTCAATGCTTCCCATGACCGCAGGGTTAAATCCAAACTGCTCAAGTGAGCACAGGAGGCCCTCCATCCCAAGGCCTGTTTTCCCCTCCAGCTTCATCTGCTTCCCGTCCTGCACTCTGACCATACCAAGCTTTTTACTGCCTCCAGAATGGACGTGAGATCTCCTTCCTAGGAGGTTCTCTCCTAATCACCCCCATCTCTTTTCTCAGCTTGGAAAATTCCTTAGTCATAAGACTCAGGCATCATGCCCTCTGTGAAGCCTTTCTCAGTGTCCCTAAGAAGGGTTGATTATTTACTTCTTTGTGCTCTATTACACTGTGTTTGCAATTAATTATTTACTGTATTAGATAATTCTTTGAGGTCACTTCTCTAAAAGATGGACAGGACAAAGAGGAAGGAAAAAAATATTCTCCCCTTTTTTTAAGTAACAAATTTTGTTTTTAGAGCACATTTAGGTTCATAACAAAATTAAGTGGAAACTACAGAGAGTTCCTGTATTACTCCTCCTCCCCACCCCATCCTTACACACACAACCTTCCCAGCTGTTGACGTCCTGCACCACAGTGGTACATTTGTTACAATCAATGAACCTACAGTGGCACATCATTATCACCCAAAGTCCATAGTTTACATTAGGGTTTACTTTCAGTGTTGTGTATTCTAGGGGTCTTGACAAATGTACAGTTACATGTATCTACCATTGTAGTATCGTACAGTTTCACAACCCTAAAAACTCTCTGTGCTCTGCCTATTCGTTCCTCCCTCCCTGCTCACCCTTGAACTTTTTACTGTCTCCATAGTTTTGCCTTTTCCAGAATGTCGTATTGTTGGAATCATACAGTATGTTACCTTTTCAGATTGTCTTCTTTCACTTATTAATATGCGTTTGTTCCTCCGTGTCTTTTCACGGCCAGATAGCTCATTTCTTTTTAGCAAGGAATAATACTCCATTCTCTGGATATACCACTGTTTGTCCATTCACCTACTGAAGGGTATCTTGGTTGCTTCCAAATTTTGGCAATTATGAATAAATCTTCTATAAACATTTGTGTGCAGGTTTTTGTATGAACATAAACTTTCAGTTCACTTGGGTAAATACCAAGGACTGTGATTGCTGGACTGTATCATAAGAATATATTTAGTTTTGTAAGAAACTGCCATAATGTCTTCCAAAGGAGCTATACCATTTTGCATTCCCACCATAGTGAATAAGAGTCCCTGTTCTTCCACATTCTCAGTAGGATTTGGTGTGGCCAGTGTTTTGGATTTTTGGCCTTTCTAGTAAGTATCTAGTGATATCTCATTGTTGTTTTAATTTGCAATTTCCTAATGACTTATGATGTTGAACATTTTTCCATATGCTTACTTCTCATGTGTATATCTTCTTTGGTAAGGTGCTCAGTTCTTTTGCCCAGTTTTTAATTGGGTTGTTCATCTTCTTATTATTGAGTTTTAAGAATTGTTTGTGTATTTTGGATAACAGACCTTTATCAGGTGTGTTTTTTACAATTATTTTCTCCCAGTCTGTGGCTTATCAGCTCATTTCATTGACCTTTCTTTTTTTTTCTCATTCTCTCTCTTAGACATTTACATGTAGAGCATACCATATAATACTATACCAAATAATACAATTTTATATCTTGAGTGACTACTGTGTGCCAGCAAAATATTCAAAGGAAACAGAGGACTCCTAGTCCACAGCTCACTGCCCCATTTTGAAAGAGTAGAAGAAATCTGCAGAAGTGAAACATCCACCATTTGCAGTGTTTTTCCACCAAAATATTGATATATGTGTATGTTTACTCATGGTACATCATTCTTATAAGCACTGAAGCTTATAGTAAATAGGTGCTTTCTTAAGTTAACTGATGTAATATACCAGAACTATAATGTCAGTGTAACTAAATATATTGGTGAATAAAGTATTCTGCATTTCAGTAAAATACCATAAAAATCTAATTAGCTTCATCTCTTGCTACAAAAGGAACAGCTGTTTGTGAGGCTGTGAAAAAATTTCATTCACTTTAATTTGATGCAATTGATTCTTGTTTATTAAATTAACAAATATCTTCCTTTAAAACAAACAACCCCATTTTGTAGATGAACAAACAGGTATGGGAAAGCAAACTAAGTTACCAATACAGCACATCGGTTAGCAGTAGAACTGGGAGTAGAACCTAGGTGCCGATATCTTCCCAGTACAGTATTTGCTCCACTGTACTTCCATGAGCCAGTCAGTGCCATTGCTGGGGAAAAACCTTAAACACTTAGCAAATGACACAGCCACATGAATAGCTCTTGTGGTTTAGTACTGGAGAACACACACACACACACACACACACACACACACACACACACACACTCAGGTTGAAAGATAGATTTTTGTCCTCAGGTAAGCACAGAATAATTTAGGAACGATGGCAAGTTACCCCCCAGTAGATATGAAATAGGGTATAAACATAAGTAATATCATGTGAAAGAGTAGAGTGTGATTTAATCAAGGAGAAACACCGTAGAATTGAATTTTATTCTGGATTCCAGAGAAAAAGCATAAATTTAGAATGTTTTAATATTCTAATTAGATTATTAGAATATTTTAAAACAAAGTAACCAGAATGGATTAGAGATAAACTCACTTCAATAGAAATTTCCAGGTCAAGTTTTAACTGTATCATTTAATCTAAGCAATATCTGTTTTAGTTGAGTAAAGGATTTCTAGACCATTTTCAGATAGAGTAACTTAAACGATTATTATGCTAATGGAAAATGTTAATTCTCATGCATTGGAATGAGTCTTGTTTTCACTAACATTGAACTAATCTTTGATGGGCTATAGATCATAATATGTACTGTATAAACTTGTTCAAGTCATACCTTTTAGGCACCTGCTACCAACACATTATCACCTCGATCAGATTTCAGGATGAATTTAATGACATAGATAAAAAAAAAAAAACAGTGGCTCCAGGTTGAAGGTTGATTGGTCATTCTGTATAATGTGTGTGAACAGAAATTGGCTTTGTTACAAAGATATGAAAGATGCCATTCCATAGCAAAGACTCATTCAGAGGAATTCTTTTAGTGCCAGTGATGTGACCAAACCATAGTGGTATAACTTTTATGAGACTACTTTTATTTGCTTTAATGAGATTGTTTATCAGTATTGGGACTGATATAATCAGTCCTGATTATAGGATAATCTGATAATCTGATAATCAAGAGAAAAGAAAGTAACTATCCCTTTTGATTAATCTCTAAAATATACAAATACCTCATGCAACTCAATATCAAAAAAACAGACAACTCAATCAAAAAATAGGCAGAGGAGTTAAATAGACATTTCTCCAATGAAGACATATAGATGGCCAGGGGGCACATGAAAAGATGCTCAATATCACTCATTATTAGAGAAGCGCAAATCAAAACTACAAGGCGATAGTCAGAATGGCCATCATCAAAAAATCTAACAACAATAACTGCTGGAGAGGGTGTGGAGAAAAGGGAACCCTCCTACACTGTTGGTGGGAATGTACTGGTACAGCTACTATGGAGAACTGTGTGGAGATTCCCTAAAAAACTGAAAATAGAGCTACCATATGATCCAGCAATCCCACTCCTGGGCATATATCCGGAGAAAACCATAATTTGAGAAGATACATCCACCCCAGTGTTTATTGCAGCACTATTTACAATAGCCAGGACATGGAAGCAACCTAAATGTCCATCAACAGAGGAATGGATAAAGAAGATGTGGTACATATATACAATGGAATATTACTCAGCCATAAAAAAGAATGAAATCATGCCATTTGCAGCAACATGGATGGACCTAGAGATCAGTAAGTCAGACAAAGACAAATATCATAGGATATCACTTATATGTGGAATCTTAAAAAAGGGTACAAATGAACTTATCTACAAAACAGAAATAGAGTTACAGATGTAGAAAACAAACTTAGGGTTACCTGGGGATAAGGGGGGAGGTGAGGAAGGATAAATTGGAAGATTGGGGTTGACCTATACACACTATTGTAAAATAGATAACTAATAAGGACCTACTCTATAGCACAGGGAACTCTACTCAGTACTCTGTAATGGCCTATATGGGAAAAGAATCTAAAATAGAGTGGATATATGTATATGTATACCTGATTCACTTTACTGTACACCTAAAACCAATACAAATTGTCAATCAACTATACTCCAATAAAAATTTTAAAAAGAAAGTATCCCTTTCATATTAAAGATAAGTGTATGAATGAGTAGCTGAATTAGCACCTCAGTAAATCTTTACTGGATGGATGGATGGATGGATGGATGGATGGATGGACAGTTGGATGACACACCGATAAATGGATGTTGAGCTTGTATGTTTGTGTAGGTCTACCTCCTTTATTTTCAGTGTTAAAACATCTGCTTTGATTTCTTAATTCACAGGTCAGAGGTAAAATTAGAATTCAAAAATAGACTTTATATTTTTCATCTGCCATTTTTCCTACTGCGGGTACCAACTTCTTAGCCTTCTTTTCTCTTTTCACCAGAGCAACGCAACCTCTGGACTTCCTGTATTAAGAACATAAGGTGGCAGTTGTGGAGACAGCAGAATGCCAAGATATTTCCATGTCCATTGAACTCTTTGCACAACTGCCACCACCCTGTAGTTTTAAGAGATGATCAGGTGATCAAGTTTGTTTTCTTTTCCTCGTTTTTCTGTAGTTATCATGTGATGTAAAACTGGATCCTCGCCCAGAATACCATCGGTGTATACTGACTTGGCATCACCAAGAACCACTACCTTGGGCACAGAGTACAGGTTAGTCATTCACACCTGCAGGTATCTCTATACACCCATCCTGTTAAAACACAAATTTATGTATAACCTCCTTCCTTGAGTATACCTAATTTTGTAATTATTGTACATTTTCCCTTTTGAAAGATTAGATGTTAACTTATTCCTAAAACAGTGTAGCATAACAGGACAAGAGTAAAAAAATAAAATAAAGATTTTGTTATTCCATGGAGCCATATTTTCTAGATAAACATTTGAAATACAAATCTAAAATTACAGAAGATTTTTATCTGTTTGTTCAACCAGTAAGTTCTGAGCATAACTTTGATTGTAGGAAAAGGAGGGGACTGTGGCTCTGCCACCCATCAGTGTGAGATTAAAGCCCAATTAGAGTGTGATTCTCTGTAGCCTTTACTATACACTAGATATTGGTAAGATTTAAGGACTGAGAAATCAACGTTGATAATTCAGAGTTCTGAAGTTACCTGCTGTAGACTTTAAACTTTTATCCCCAACTTCTCTAGTCATATTTTACCTGACTTTTGATGGGATTCCAGAAAAAATTAAACAGAAGTCCTATCAAGTACAAACATCAGCTAGCACAGTGAGTAGGTTGCTGATGGGCTTTGCCATCAGACTTGCATTCAAATTGGCCGCCAACTAATTAGTAGGACCCTAGGCAAGTTATCTAACCTCTTTTGAGTCGTTGAGAATTAAATAAGGTAGCTGAGTAAAAGGTCTACCACCTTGTCTGGTACTTAGTAAATACTAAAGAAATGGTAGCCACTGCTGTTATTATCATTATTATTTTAATAGGGTTTAAAAGCCTGTCTTTTCAGACACATGTCACATTTTAGCCTGAATTGAGAAATTCTATGGTATTTTCCACAATGCTGTAAAATTTTGGTTTTGTTCTTTTAAGCAGTAATTTGTAATGTTTATTTTTAAAGTTCAGTGAGAAGGTAGTAGGATACAGTAGCAAGGTTACCTGAAAAAGGTACTGGGAAGTCTGATCATCTCTCTTCCTCCTGAAGACCTGTGTTTCTGTTCATCAGTTTTTATTCTGAAAAGGACTGCAAGGGCTGCGCATGCATACACCATGACGCTGATGCTGCTGTAATGAGAGTATTTCCTCCTAGGTAATCAGATGAGCAGCCGTCTGATGAGCATGCGCAGCGCCAACGGATTATTGATGCTTCCTCCAAAGACAGAGCAGTACGTGGAGCTCCACAAGGGCGAGGTGGTGGACGTCATGGTCATCGGACGGCTATGATGGTCACCAGCGGGAGAAAGCTTTGATGCATGTCTACATACCATTGACTGTATCCTGTAATATGCAACGGCACAGCTAGTTTTTCTGATTTGGATAAAAGTTGATCTGTATGGTCAACATCTTTTTTTTTTTTTTGGTCAACATCTTGAACTATATTTCAAAAGAATTTAAATACCTTTTAAAGAAAAAAACACCTAAAAATAAATCTTAACAGACAACTCTATTCTGATTATATCAAAGCAAATTTTTCCTTTCTTGCAAATTGCTTTGTGTGTTCAATGCTAGGTCTGATAGCGATAGCTTTTAGTAGACAGCAGTAGGTGCCTGCAGAACTTGTGTTTTTCTCATCTTTAAAATACAACTACTTATGCTCTTAAATCAAGGCTGTCTGCTTATTTATACTAGCGTAGGCAACACTTGGATTTCCCTTCCTAGTATGCTTCATAACCGCTTTACAGAGAGCTTTTGCTTGTTCTTTATCATGTATCTCGTGTTTATGTGCACAGTGCCAAACAAAGAGTGACTGGGTGGTGGCCCTGCCCTGCCTCAAGGAGAACCATCCCCGCAGAGCATTCGGGGGTGGGGGGGCCTCGCATCCCAGTAGCCTCATGGCACAGTACTCTTGGGCAGTAACTGGATACCTTTTATTTGAACAAACAAACTGGGGTGGGGGGGAATGCTTCCTTAAGTGCTGACAGCCTTTTTAACCAATACATTTAAAATTGTACAGAATAAAAAATAAAAGCAAAGACTGATCTTGTACAGATATTAGTGTTACCAGCATTCATGTGGAAATCAAGAGCAAAGAAAAAACAATGTTAAACAACTCTGTACCATAACATTTTCTGTAATGATACTGAAACTTAATGAATAAAAAAAATCCTCGATCATTATTTAAAATCCAGTGTGTGTTGGCCTTGTTAATAAAAAAAAGAGAAGATTGTTATGCCATTCTGATGGGGTTCTGCCTGGATAAAAGGAATAGTTAAGATGGCTTAGCAAGGTTAAGTGGTATAAAGGAGATTTTTTAAAATATAATCTATATTTTACTGTAGCATTTGTGCAAATACAGATTAGAAAGTAGGAGAGAACCTGTAGTTGGTCTGGTCTTTCCAGTCATAGCTGGAGAATAGCAAGCAAATTTAGAGGAAAGATAGTTGATAATTTAGAAAAAAACTACATTTTTATTTCAGATGTCATAAAAACAAATTTCAAACATCTACAGTTCCTTGGAATAGAGGGGGAAAATAAGTAATGAACCATACAATGGCAGATGAGTACCTGGACATTTTTTTTTATCATGTTTGGAAGTGAAAAATGGGAAAAATCTGTACTGACTATAGAAAATACAGTTGAAATATATGCTATCCACAATGGCTTCTTTAATAAAAACTTAGGGGCACTTTCCAAACAGTGGTAACAGGGGACATTAAATATGCTATAGAGTACTTAGTAAAGCAAACAACAAAAACTAGCCTACTAGTAGACAAGGTGCCAAATGATGGTAATGAAAAAAGCCAATTTGTAAACAATAAATATTTGATACTTATACTTGATATTTCCAAAGTTGAAAATAAAATGTTCTATATTTTAAATTTAGTTTATATGTTCAATTAAAGAAGATAAGGTTAATTAATAGAGGTCAAATGAAAGCTCATGCAAGGAGTTCTTTACCTACATTCATCCAAGAAATATTTATTAAGCATATACTGTGTGCCTGAGTCCAAGGTACATCATGCTATACTATTTACAAGAATGAATAGGGATAATTGCTAACATTACAGTCCATCAAGGAAGATTAAAAAAACATGTGCAAGTAAGCATACTATTTGATATGTTTGATATTTGATAATAACATGGTAGAATGTGTAAAATGTGATAAATGCTGTAATTCAGATTAAAGAGTTGGAGGAGTTCAAATGAGAACCTTCTACAAGGTAAGATTTCAAGGAGTAAGAAATTTTAGTGGGTCTTGAAGTCAAGGTGGAATTTTAAAGGTGATAATGCAGGAAGAAGGGTATTCTAGAAACAGAATGTACAATTAATAATAATTGTTATTTTTATTATAGAATTTAAGATCCACAAGGGCAATGATTTTTGTTTGTTTTGTTTACTGATATTATCCCCAAATCCTTAGAGTTCCTGGCATATGTGCATATGGATAGGCAAAAGTAAATATTTGTTCCATGAAACATTATACAGAGCTTACCAGGCACTTTTCTAAGCACTTTTCATATGTTTAATTTTCACAACAACCCTGTAAGTGTTATTATTCCTATTATAGATGAGGAAACTGAGGCAGAGAGAGGTTGAGGAAACTGAGGCACAGAGAGGTTAAGAAACTTGTCCAGGGTGACACAGCTAATAAAAGGAGGAGCCAGGATTCAAACTTAACAATCTGGCTTCAGAGTCCATATTCCCAAACACTAAGCCATAGAAACAGAAAATTGATACATTTGTAAGACCAAAAAAGTACATGTTTGAGGCCCAAACTATGAACTTCTTGAATACCAGGGTAAGGAGTCTAGATTTATTCTAGAGACAATTAAACCATTAGAGATTCTTGATCAGGGAAGTATTAGGATCATTTTTGGGGGGAAAAAAATGCTCTGGCAGCATTGAATAGGATAGACTGGACTGGGGAAAAACTGAAGAGAGACACCAATTAAGAAGTGATCATTATTGTGCAGGTGAGGGGTGATAATAGCCTTAACCATAATGCTAGAGGGGTAATGGTGATAGGAAGGTCATGACATCTGAGTGTGCCTCTGGACCTAAAAAATGGAAAGAATTTTATGACTGATTACAAGTGTTGGAAAGGAAGTTAGACGAATAAGAGATGATTCAAAGTCTTTAGTCTTGGCTGACTGAGAACATGTTCAACAAGAAACAAAAAAAAAGAAAGTCAGAAACATGGATTTTGTGGAGGAGCTGGTAAGTTTAGACATGTGTTTGAGATGTCAGAGGGGCCCTAAGGTAGCCATGTCCTGTTGGCATTTGAAAGTATAGGTTAGGAGTTCACAGAAGAGATACAGGCTGAATATAACATTGGGGATCCTTCACATGAAGGTAGTATTTGAAACGTAAGGGTAGATAGGAAAGATTATTAAGGAAGGACTTGCCAAGAAAAGAGGACAGAGCCTTGGGAAGCACCTCATTTTGGAGTGTTGGAGGAAAAAGCCATGGATGTAATGAAATGAAGAGCAGTTTGTAGAAGAGAAGAAACAGGGTACTGCAGTGTCCCAGAACAAGGGAGGGGAGTTTCAAGAAGGAAAGATAACCAACTGTCAAAAATAAATGTCACGAAGAATGAGGGCTCAAAAGAATGTATTGATCAGGCAATCATTTGTGAGCTGCAGGAGTGCAATTTCAAATAATGGGTTGAAGGCAATAGCCAGATAGCAAAATAGAAACCGTGACTATGAAATATTTGGAACTTGGGCATGAGGAAAGAAAGATAGACACAGGATGGTAGCTTGAACCGTTAACAAGATGAAGAAAAGATTTTTGTTTGAAAAACAATAGTAGTGGGCATATTAAACATTTGAGAGTGAGGTTCCAGATGGGGAAAGGAGAAGAGGAAGGAAGGGCTGGATTAAAGGACACTGATGGCCCAGTTAGGCTGGAGAAGTAAAGGAACATTTTTCTTTCTGAATTAGAAAAGGGAAAAAAAATAAAATATGAACACATTTGAGGTAGATTCAAGGGAAATTTAATTTAAAACTTAAGGGTCAATAAAATGGTTCTACTCGGCACAGTGAAAGTCAACGTCATGTAATCTATTTGCATTATTTGACCAAAATTATTTTAAAATTATGTATGTATGATGTATTACAATTCTTTGTCTTAGTAGTTGGTGTTTCAATAAAAGATTATAAGGTGTTTTTAGATTCTTGCTTATAGCTGTGTGGAAGTTAAGCAATTCCTTTTTTTCATGTTTGTTTGTTTTTTCTTATGATTATACAAGCAGTACATACTTATCCACCAAAGTCTACAGCAAGACTGCCACCCCCACAAAATTGACAGACTCTCTGCCCAGACACCCAGCCCCTTCTGTAGGTCACAAAGAAGTGCTCGACCCTCTTTTGTCAAGGACCCCACCTTTCTGCCCAAGCCCTATACTCTGCTCTATCTAACCTATAGTGTCACCTCTCCCTGCTTACATGCTTTCCCATCAGCTTTATACAGCCTTAAAATTCTCCTATGTCCTAAAAACAAAAATGAAAACCTCCCTTAGCCCACTGCCTACCCATAGCAATTACCCAGTCTTTCTTGTTCCCTTCAGAGCTTGACTTTCAGAAAGAATTGTGTATATTTATTTATGTAGTTAACCATTTCTGGGGTTCTTCATTCTTTGGTGTGGATCCACATTTCCATCTGGTATCATTTTTCTGTTGCCTGAAGGAGTTCCTTTAAAATTGTTGTGTGGGTCCGCTGGTGATATATTCTTTAAGCTTTTGCATGTCTGAAAAAGTATTTGTTTTGCTTTTGTTTTTGAGAGAGATTTTTGCTGTGTATAGAACTCCAGGTTTATAGTGTTTTCCTTTCATTACTTTAAAGATGGCTCTCTTTTTGCTTGCATTGTTTCCAATGAGAAATCTGCTGTCATCCTTATCTTTGTTCCTCTGTACATAGCATATATTTTTTCTCTGGCTGCTCTTAAGACTTTTTTCTTTGTCATTGTTTTTGATCAGTTTGATCATGACGTGTGTTGGTGCAGTTTATTGAGGTTGAGGTTTATTGAGCTTCTTGGATCTATGGATTTATCATTTTCATCATGTTTGTAAAGTTTTCAGTTATTTCTTTAAATACTTTTTCTGTTTGCCCCACTCTCTTCTCTCTTTCAGATACTCCAGTTATCTGCACATGAGCGAACTTGAAATTGTCCCACAGTTCACAGATGCTCTTAATTTGGGGGGGACTCTTTTTCTCATTGTGTCTTTCATTTTGGATGGGCTCTATTGCTATGCTTTAAGTTCACTACTCTTTTCTTCTGCAATGTCTAATCTACTATTAATCCTATCGAGTGCAATTCTCATCTTAGACATTGTAGTTTTTATTTTATTGAAGTATAGTTGATTTACAATATTGCATTAGTTTCAGGTGTACAGCATAGTGAATCAGGTGTGGGTTTTTGCAGATTATATTTCATTATAGGTTATTACAAGATATTGAATATAATTCCCTGTGCTATGGTAAATCCTTGTAAGCAGTTCCTTTTTAACCTGCTTTCTTGGTTCTGTGCTTTGGTTGTTTCAAATCATGTAACACACAATGAAAAAAAGAATATAAGCAGATTACATTTACCAAGTAAATGCTATTAAGTGATGTTGCATGTTACAGCAAGTGGGTTCTTTGGATGGCTTTTGTTTTTTAAATTATTTGCTAACCAAAAAAACTTTGATCTAACCCATAACCAACTCTTGATCTTCATGAAACCCTAATAGGTAAGTCATTATTATTCCTAATTATAGAAAGTAGGGATTTATGTACATACAGAATTCAAAGCAAATAAATTATGTATCTTATTATCCCAATGATGATGGGTGGATCTATGTTAAATAATACATTGTATTCTAACAGGCTTATAAGAAGTGTTGAGCTCAACTGTCTATAACAGAGTTACATCATTATAGAGTTCATTTATAACTTGGCCTAGAACCAAGAGGTTAAAAAGTTGCTCAATTCTGGCCATTTTGTATGGTCAGTTAGCAATATGTCTCCTGTAGTCTTTTGTAATAATTCAATAATTTATTTAACAAGCATATATTAAGTTCCTACAGTATGCAAGGCTCCATGCTAGGCCCTGAGGATACAGTGATGAGTGAGACCAAGACTCATATCCAAGTGGAGACAGATTATGAGAAAGCAAAACAAAAAATTTTTTTTGAAATACAGAT